AAATCATATTTTCAACAAGGCACTTAATTTTGTAAATTTTATTCTAATGTCAAGTAAGTGTTCAATTCTACTGGAAGAGAGACTTAGGGTCTTAGTAGGAATATTCCAGTAAAATAATACTAAACAAAGAGGGAAAAATAGTTTTTATTCAATTGACAGACACTTTACTTGCATTTGATAGGCAAAAAAACTATTACGTGTAACACTCAAGAATCTAATATATTTATCCAGTTTGTTTTACAGTGATTTTCAAGTGTTAGAAAATCAAACTACAACCCCAAATGAGTGGGAAAAATATGGAAGAAGGGATCAAGAGAAATCTTTTTGAGGGGAGAAAGAGACAAGACCTCTTCCAGTACTGAATAATGTAGCAAACATCTTGTTGTTAAAATGATAAATTCTGTGTAATTTACACAGAACACACTAAAAATACAGATTTGAGTCAGCTTGATCAAAATAACCCTCAGATATAGCATTTGCTTTTTCCTTTTATGGGCAGATTCTCGACCTTTGGAGCACATGCTTTATTACAGCCAAACTCTTTGAAGCATCAACAAAACGATGAGTTTATTTAAAATAGGGCCTCAGTCCAATGACGCCCGTGACTTGTGTCAGGAAGGACCAAACACAGCCTCAGAGAGCTGTATAACCAGTTAATACTCTGGAACCATCATGGACTTCTATCTTTTTCCAGTCAAGTTTCAGTGACATTGCATTGCTGTGGCACAACGAAAACTAAGGGAGGTAGAAGGAGAAGAAGAAAATAATCTAGAGGAGGTGCCGAATTCGTATTCAATTGGACGCAGCTAAGGCTATTATTAAAGAAGGAATGCCTAACATCCTAAGTTCCTCTTTACCACTTGAAGCTTGCAGAAGTAGCAGTCATATAATAAAGTCTTGGCTTTGAAAAGAAAGGAGGCTTGAGGCTGAGGTCTGGAAAGAATTCTTAGCCTGAGAGGGACTTTTCAGGAACCTGGACAAACAGCTGCACTGCCTGCATGTCCAGTTCCCACCCACAGGGCACTTTTTTTTTCCTGCCAGATTTTCTCTTTTCCACCTCAACTGTAAGTGCTCAGGGTCAGGCCCAAACTTCCCTAATAGCAACAAACACAATGAGACCTTGATCTTGGTGAGGATTGCTAGGGAATATAAGCAGTAAAAAAAATAATCTCAGCATTTCAGTGCAGGATGTGGAGCTGCTTCAGAGAACTGAAGGTACAAGACAGCACAGAGAGTTGTATTGAAAACTGAGAGTAGGACAATGTGGAATGGAAATAGAAATTACTAGACTAGTGAAATAATAAATTTATTTTTACTTTTTGAGGTTAAAATCTGAAACTTGGTAGTCCATAAAAGGAGTTCCCAGGCACTTTTATGCTTAGGACCAGCATGGAAGCAAGTCCAATCCTTCTGGGAATCATCTGCACTACAGGGTGAGCACTGTATACTCTGTCTGCATACGCCTACTAGCTCTAACACATTCTGGATGTGCCAGACTTGTTGCACATGCACTGTTCAATTCCTTCTCTGTGCAAGCAGGAAATCCAACCTGTTCCAAGCCTGACGGACCTACACTCATGCAGCACACCTACATAAGATCTGATGTTTCCTGTCAGAGCCAGAGTCCTCGAGTTTGTACAGCACAGCCAGCCCATAACTGGGCGGTGAACACATTTGACATTTCTGCACGTTTAAAGCTTGTCAAGATTTCTGGGAGAAGGCTGCAGCCTTTACAGAAAGCCTATCTCTGAAATTTTGTGAAGTATTGTGCCTATGCAATACCAATCAAAAAACTCTGCAAAACTATGAGAGATGGCCTACTCCTGTAAACTGAATATGCACTTCCTACTGAAAAATATTTCTCAGCTGAGATCTTGGAACAGTTTTCTGTTTTTTTGGAGAGCTGCCAAGCATATATTGCATGCAAAACCAACATCCAAAACCATGTGAGTTCCACAGCTGCTAAGATGCTGAAAAGCACTTGATCATTAATCCTGTCACACCCAGCCCAAAAATCAACTACTCCAAACTCTTCCACTAGTGTCCAAAATGGACAACACAGCCTGTGAAAAAAAATAAAAATGGTGAAGTGAAAAATCATAGTATCATTTAGATCCTGAAATATTTAGGCAGTCAGCATTGAAGAAAACTGCTTGGGCAAAAAGCCTGACTTTAGGGCTGTAATAATTGGATTGAGGATCTGAACGAGAAATTATACGGCTGATCTTGAAAAAGTAAAATTAGGTGTGTGTTAATTTTAGAAAGGTTAAATGTTAGAAAAGCAATTTCTATTTTGTTTAAGTTGTTAAAAACTTTTTACATTTCTGTAGTATTTTCTACTATTACACCGCTAATAGTTGTAACGTACACTCATTTCACTCTAAATGAGAACAGATTTGAAAATATGACTGTGTTCTACTAAGCTTCAGTGAAGCTTAGTTTCATAAATATGAGACCAAGTATGCAGGATTGCAGCTAGTGAAGTCATAGAAACAGATGATCTATGGTGTGGATGTGCCACAGGATTTTCTTTGCCAATACATGCATTAAAATCTTGGACTTGAATTATAGAATTACTAAATTATAAAATTACTAAATCTTGGGACAGAGCTATAAAACTTGTCTTATTGAGCATCATCACTAGGTGAACAGTCAACAACTGAGCAAAAGCACCGAATTACTTTCAAGTCAGGTAATGTTTGCTTAGTGATTTAAATCAATTTTACAAACAGTTCTTATCCACATATAAGAAGTAGCTACTTCATATTATTTTCCTCTAAGAAAATACAGTCTCTTCTGTTTTATGATCAATTCAAGAAGGGTTCAATAGTCAGCCTGTAGGTGCTCTTATGTGAGCAAACACACAGAGCCATGCTCTTACTTCATTAGAAAGTTGAAGCAAATTGCTTGTTTTTACAGCATATGTTGCATTCCTTTGAGGATAACATAGAGAAAATTTCTTCACTCTTCTGGTTTTTGTTTGTTTTGGTTTGTTTGTTTGCTTTTGTTTGTTTGTTGGGTTTTACTTTTATTTTTAAATTTGAATCCTCCAAACATATAAGATGTATATTACCTGATATAAAAGGGTGATATTTCTATTCTTGTGCCTTACAGAAGAATCAAATAAGTGAGTTAAAAATATCATCTTGGTTCATCCACTTCTCAACACACCTGCTGTTCTCCATTTCAGTCACAAACTCTTCCAGGTCAAAACTGAAATCATTACTAGAGAAACCAGAATGATGAAGACATTGAGCTGCCAGTTTCTAATGCAGCCGTACCAAGTTACTGTCAATCAGTGACTGTAATTAAAAAAAAGCATGCAATGCTAAAGAAATATTAAGAACAATTATCCTGTGTCCAATTGGAACGTTAGACCCCTAGACAGAAGGGTTCATTCCTTGCAGCCTGCCAACATTTCAGTAAATGACACTGGCCCTTTAACAGATGGGATACATGCTTCTTAGCTTGCCAGGATCCTAATAAAAGACACTGGCTTCTTTAAAATGAAGGACACATACCTCTCAAATTGCCAGTATCCAAATTGGGAGTCAGCAGTTTAAAATAAAGGCACTCATCAATCTGGCAAAATCAAGGACACGGCACAGAAATTTTAAAACAAATGGTACAAAGTTTCTCCTGACACAACTCAACTTAGATGATCTAAATACTTAAAACACTGGCTAAGCATATCTGGCAGCAGCACTATAACAATTAGATACCTTACTAGCTTTTAAAATAGAAAAATAGTAAAAATTAGCAGCAGACTTCAAGAGATTTACTTCTTTCCCCCATCAAACCCATTAGCTCCCACTTAACACTGACTGACATCACGCTGACCACGCACTGCAGGACTCAAATGAAAGTAGGGGGTCTCTTCCCTGGGCATTGACCAGTACCACAAGGTTGACCCATGTGGAAACTCTCTGCTCGAAAGGAACCTCATCTGCCTCCATTTTCTCTGCCAGGAACAGGATGCTCCAGTGAAGGAAAGAGACTTCTCAAAGTTTTCCCTTTGCCCTGACAGTGCATATTACTACAACTTGGGAAGTTTTACAGCAACTCTAGACACCTCAGGAGAGCCAGTGAGTATAGGTTCTTTAACTTTTCTAAAAGCAGCCATCAAATGGAAACCAAGACCTTTATTAGCATATCATGAAGTGCTTGTGGATGAGCTGGAGAAAGGGAGAGAGGAGTTTTCTGAACCTTGTTGTCACTAACAAACTGTTCCCAGTTTCTGAAAGGTAGACATGGGGAAAACCAGAAAGCCAAATTCTCTTTGACTGGGAAAGATAAAGAAGTTGCTAAGACTGGGCATAAAAAAGTATAGTACTTTTATGAACAAGACATACTCCCAGGGCCTTACTTCAGAAATGCAGCAACTCACAGCTGGCACACACCCAGCTTCTTGCCCTGCCCATCTCGCTCACACCACTGTCAGCAGACTCCTGCCTCTTCAGACTCAACCATTTGAATCCTCTTTCTTTCAGGTGTCCCTTGCCATACTCAGCACTTGCTGCACAGATATTTCTGCAACATGTGGCTTACCAGAAAATGCTGTGCAGAACAGAACAAAACTAAGTACAAAAACTAACATTTGCTGGCACAGCCAGCTGAAGCCAAAGAGGTTTGAAGTTCTGGAAAACATGGCAGAGGCTGTCAGGGGAGAAGGGAGGAGGTTCTTGCTGCAGAGAAGTAAAGGAAAAAATTGCTAAGTCAGATGGCCTTGGGAATGGGTAGAGGGGAAACAGGTGTTGAAGGAACTCATCTTCACCAGCTTAGCAGAAGTTGGGATCTGAAGGCTACAGTGAAGTGCACAGAAACTGCAGGAGAACAAGCTCCTGTTGCACTGAGCCTAATACTCTGGGTTGCCTGGACCTGACTGTCAGCAGGCACGGTCTGGAACATCTCCAGCCAGGCTGGCTGGCTGTTATTCCAGGCAATCACTCGCTCTGAAGTTCTTCACTCGATGAACAATGATGCTGCTGCCATTTACTCACCTTTCACGTTCATCTTTCATTTTCTCCAGCTCCTCCTCTTTAAGCATGCCCTGCTTTGGATTCTGATCTGCTTTCCCACTTCTATCTTCTTTTTTCTTTCCAAATCTGTTAAAGATATCAAGGAAGGAGTCATGAGGAAATAATTACTAGAAGAAAAACCAGTACTTATCTACCCTACACCACAGAAATTTTAAGACAATCAAAACACTGGGTTTTTATCTTAGTTACTCATAAATTTCCTACATTGCAAACTAAGTTATCAGTATTACCTGGGCCATATGCAAGAGAAAGGACCAATTATCATTTGATTTAGACCCTGTACTTTTGAAAGCAATTGCTTGAAACAAAATTCAAAAGTCCCATCAAACCTGAAATGCAAGGCATTGCAAGGCTGGAATATTAACATGGCACCTATTAAAGTGGCTGAAGGTTCTTTTTGCCACATTCAGTTCTCTGAAAGTAATCAGTAGTGGCTGTGGTGTCAGCACCCAGACTGGACCACATGTTCTGCTCTTAACAGTCACTACTGCCTCTCATTTATGATTGACCCTAATTTTTGGATTTGTTATTTGCTTAAATGGGGATACATTCAGAAAGAATAAATTTATGTTCCAAGACTACAAAACTAGACAGTTCATAAGAGCTCTTTTTTAAACTTCTAGGGTTTTCTTTCTGCCTAGTAATATACTATCATGTAATATTTATGCTGTGAAAGTCCTCCAGAGGCCTCAGTGGGCTCAGGGCTCCCACTGTTGTTTTATACACTCAACAAATACGCATAACAATCCTGCTTTACACAGCCCATAAGGGGTGGCTGAACTGGGGAGCTGCATTTAATTTCTGATGAAGCTAGGCAGAATACTGGGGTCAAATATGCTCATTAAGTATAGACCAAAAGGTATATAAAGCTTCCCTCCTCTCCCCCACTTTGAAATTCTCAGTTCCACAAGCAAGTAAATGGTAAGTCTGTGTCTTCCCCTGCAAATTAATGTATCTTTGCATGCATGACAATAATGTAAAGAAAAGTAATTATTTTTTAATTAAAACTACTATATTGCAAACTAATTACTCTGACTCAAAACTGCAAACTCTTCTATGAAACTCTGCAGCATTGCCTTGGTGATTTTTTTTTATTTTTCCTGTCAGCCCAAACTGCCTCAAGTGGAATAGCTGAACTACTGTGCATATACTTGAGCTGTAAATCATCGACTTTAGGTTTCTACGCTGATGAAAGCAGAAATTTTGCAAATACCAAGTCAGGCTCATAAGCTAATGATCTCAATGTTTTGTGAATTTAATTAATAATTCTGAGCTTGTGGTCAAACCAAGTTATCGGGAACTCTGCCGCAGGTCTCCCAGACAATAAGAACTTGGTTAGAAAGGGAATGATGGCTGTGAGAGACAGGTGTGTAGCACATGGTGTTAATAAAAAGGGCAAATAATACAGGAGATAGATGGTGTCTTGTGTTCTTTGAGGGATCCTTTGCCCAAAACACACATACATCTCATCTACAAACAATCTTCAGTTCTTTTTCTGTGGTCCCTACTCCTCTCAGTGCTTCCAGAAATACAGCACATACTTCGCACACTTTTGCTTTTCCTGGGTGTAGAGCAGCACACCAATTTCACTGCTGCTCTCTGAGTTCTAGTGGTTCCAAGAGACTGTGGAGTCATAAACCCCATCTGAAGGTGGTGGCGGCACTGAAGGCAAGAGACAGGAGACACAAGAGAGACACAAAGAACATACAGAGTGAGAAGGCTCAGAGCTATGAAATGACCCAGGTGAAAAGAAAAAGCTAGATATAACTGCATATATTGCTCTCTACAGAGAGGCCAGGCAATCAAACAATAAGTTGCCTGGGGATGAGACCAGCAGCCTGCTCCTGGAACACCCTTGCTTTCTGACTCTTGCACAGGCAGGGAACATCTCATGGCAGTTTTCTCAAGAGCTGTATTAGCACTTGCATCTTGGTCATAGTCCAACTCTGGTACTTTGTTTATATTCAGGCTGCCTGGTTTTCTCCCAGAGTTTCAATTATGAGTTTGTGGAGTCTCATATTTGACTGCAGCATGTATCGATTTTGAAAACATTATTCTTGGGCATTTTGTATTGCTGCAGGGAGTTGAAGCTGGATATGCTGCATACTCAAAAGAAATGTAAAAAAAAGCCCCAAAAAATCTTTAATGTACATTCCTTTCAAGTCTGGATATTATTTCTTGCTTACTAGGGAAATACATTTTAAACAAAATAAAGTGACAATTTGGATTGCAATAACTGCCAGCATAACAACTTCCAGCAAAAACAGTGCTGTTTGCTGGTAGAGCTGCTCTTGTCATAAAATTGGCACGTTCCAGTGTAATTATAAACTGGCAATAGCGAGTTGGTCTTGACAAAAACAAGTTTTGTTGTTGTGCTGCATCAAAAGCAGCGTGGCCAGCAGGTTGAGGGAGGTGATTTTGCCCCTCTGCACTTGTGGGACCCCATCTTGAGTACTGCATCCAGCTCTGGGGTCCTCCAACATATGAAGGACATGGACCTGTTGGAGTGAGTCCAGAGTTAGGACAAAAGATGATCAGAGGCTGGAGCACCTTTCCTATCAAGACAGACTGAGAGAGCTGGGGTTGTTCAGCCTGGAGAAGAGAGGGCTCCAGGGCAGACCTTATAGCACCTTCCAGTACCTACAGGGGGCCTACAAGAGAGCTAGGGAGGGACTTTTCACAAGGGCAAGGAGTGATAGGATAAGGAGAAATGCCTTTAAAGTGAAAGAGAGTAGGTTTAGATTAGATATTAGAAGAAATTCCTCATTGTGAGGAATTGTAAGACACTGGTGGAAGTGTTCAAAACCAGAGTGGGTGGGGCCCTGAGTAACCTGGTCAAGGGGAAAGTGTCCCTGCCCACACTAGAGGGATTGGAACTTGGTGATCTTTAAGGTCCCTTCCAACCCAAACCATCATATGATTCTATGACCGGTGTTTTGCTAATTTTGGCTTCAGATATAGGATTTGATCAGGCTTAAAAGGTTTGACCTGTTATACTAAGTATACAGCATATTGCTCAAGACTAGGGAAATATTCAGATGTGGGTGTTTTTGGCCTCTTTTTGCACACTGCTATACCATAAAAATCCATTCTCTTATTATTGGTTTTCATTCCATTCTCTTATTATTATGTTTTTCAGTTCAACAAAACCTTGCACAAACATTAGAAAATAAGAGCAGCAAAAAGTTTAACACTGTTAAGAAAAGTGATATAATGTAGACAACATAAAACCACGAAGAACCCAGCATCATCTCTGCCTGAATTTATATGCCCTGCCCCATATTTATGGTCTGCTCACTGATGCATTCTAACTACCATGGACTTCCAAGGATAAAATTAACTTCTACCCATTGTAATGTGTGGGCTTGTGCACTACAGGCTTAATGGTTCTGTACTGCTTACAGGAACAACAACAAAAAGAAAGGTAGTAAGAGTACTTGCTGCCCAACTAGGTTTGATATCACTGATATCAGTGAGGCCCTACACTGATTTCATCAAGGACAGGATAAAATCTATTTTCAGAATTATACTATGGAATGAATCAAACCCATATGAAAATTCTACAGAAACTCAATGACTTTAGGATTTGAAATTTTCAATTCTCCAGGCAACAAATAATTGAACTGTGATAAAATCTGCCTTCCATATTAATACTATTGTCAGCAGAATAAAAACATTATTGAAAAATGTATGATACACAAACTTTTAAAATGTCTGTTTTGCTATACTGTGCAGTCAAATTCTCTCAAACTTAATATCTGATGGATTTATTACTCTGAAAACCTTATACAGCAATGGAGAAATATAACTAGAAGATGTAAAAACAAATGATCAGCTGTATCCTCTCATTCTATATCCATCTATAATCAGTTTATGTCAAATGAAACCACTGGTAATCGCAATGACAGTAAGGAAATAAATCCATGTCTTTTCAGGTTGAGTGATTGCCCCAGTTCTCTGATTATCCACTGTATATGCCTGGGAAGTACAGTTAAAGATGTTACAGCCCTATTAACCTTAGTATAATTTTCAGTTGGAAAAGGTAATACTCTACCTACTCAGAGCATAGTCCTCCTGTAAATAAAAGCATAAAGGGATTTTCTTTATGTGATCAGACCTTTGAGCACTTCATCCTTATGGGAAAAGCCCATATGTGACTGTTGAAAACATGCTGTGCAAAAGTGAGGCATTATCCCATTTCTATTAATTTCAAACAACTAAAATTTTTCCCCTTACAAACATTTAGGGAATAAAGTATTTGAATACCAAATATATGTTGTCTTCTTGCAGTATTTATAGCCATTCTATTGCCTATAGCATTAAAGTATATGCATGTTTCTTTCCAAGGATTCTAAGGGATAAAAATGAAAGCAAACCTACAACAGACCTGCTCTGTTATACTTGGGATAAATGTCTTGCATGCAAGACCTAAAACTGTGGTCATGGCAACACTTCGTTTCCGTGTGGAGCCGGGGGCTTCCAGATCTCAAATGTGTTGATATTTGCTTCAAGGATTAAAAAGCAGGCAGGTCTGTAAAGTACCAGGCTTCTAATAGAAGGAAACATCTGGAGGGTGGAACCCCCAAGCAGCTTGCTGACTAAATTCAGCCATTTGGATTTCTTAGCTAATTCAGTTACCCCAGATCAGGAGGTGTCACTGCACTAACAGGGTACATAATGAAAGCACAAACATCTGTGGGAAAATAATTCAAGAGAGCCTATGACACTGTCAAGCAAGATGCAAAGCCTAATACTGTCATAAAATCTTTACATCTCCAGAAATTATCTGTAAAAAACCAGAGTGATTTGTAAAGTACATATAAGAAAAGCACTGCCTCTTAGTCATTTCATAGCAAAATGGGGGAAAATGTTGAGATTATTAAAGCATGTCCCTTATGAAAGACTAGAAATAACCCTTAAAATTAAATTTAAATGTGAGTAAGAATGAATGAGTGAGAAAGCAAGATAAAGATACTAATAAGGTATGATTTTCAGGTCCACACAGGGACTATAAAAAGCTTATTAACTGCCACTACTACCGTGTGTTTTAAGTTATTTTATCACTC